GGTCTGCTGCTGCTGCAGGGTCAAGCAAGGCCAAAGGATGGCTCTGGGAGAGGTATTATAATAACAAGTCATATATTTAGCTGATAAAAACCCTGACTCAGTTGGGGGATGAAAACAAGAACAAAGATGTTGGAGTTGTACGACATTTCTCTGAGAGATACTGGCTTAATTTGCCTATTCATGCGAGTGAGACAAGAAAACATTTCCGAGGAGGTGGAGGAGGAATTGAATTACCTCCACCAGCAAGTTCTGTCACTGCCACATTTTCAGTGACTGTAGAACCCACGGCAAAGCTCCCAAAAAACAGCTACTCCAGAGCTGGGAGACATTTTAAATTATCACGTCCCTGGTCAGCCTCAGAAATCAGTTACATCAGCCAGCAGCTTTCTCTAAAGGAATGAGGTAAGAAAAAGCTTTGTTCTCTCCTAGCCAACTTGTTGATTAATAATTTTTTAATAAAGGACATAATTATTATAAACTGTTTGGGACAGCTATATAGAACAGATGTCCCAGCATCTGATTTGTAGGTTGTTAATTTCCTACTATTACATTAATGGGGAAATTCAGCATTAGAAATTGGAAATTTTTTTCCCACATGTGCTGCTTCAGCCAAAGAATATAAATTAAGATCTGTGACCTAAAATGACCTGGAAAATGCCTGCCCCTTCCCAGCATCTCTTGGATGAGGAACCTGAGCAAGGATGTCCCTGTTCCCTTCAAGAACTTGAAAGGCATTTCCACAAAACAGCCTTCAGAGTTTTTATAGATGGAAGGAGAAAAATGTGTGAAACAAGGAAAAGGTCCCAACACCAAGTGCAGTTTGGGCCAGAAGAGACAAGACCATTGCAGGGAGCTCAGTGAGTGCAGCAGAGCCCCACAGCCCGGGGGGCTGCCTCCCCAAACATCGACCGGGGTTTTTGGTTGGGGTTTCAGTTGGGTTTGTTGTTGTGGTTTTTTTTTAAAGGAATCCTTCATCCTTGGTAGGAACCAGTTCTGGCAGAGTCCAGGTCCTCCATTTAACTGCCATCAATTAATCTGTTGCTCATTTGATGAGGATTATTGAGGACTGACCTGGCACTGTCACTATCCCGAGACACGTGTTGAGCTGCCGGAGACAAACCCCTAACAGGATTGTGAGCTTTAGGCACGTTATAAACACCTGCTGGTCCCTGGGCTGAACCCTGTGGGAATGTGGGAGACCCTCCCGGGCAGCCTGTGACAAAGGGCACACAGGGATTAGCAGGCTCTGCAGAAAGGAAAACACACTCCATGTGGACTGAAAATATGAACTGAGATTACCCAGTTACTGTGCACTTCAGATACAGCAGCTTGGCTGGTACACCTGGACTGCAACAGCAGTAAAACACTTTGCAGACTCTTTACAGACATCCCCAAGGGGTGTGATTTCATTTCTTTGCAGGGTTCTTTTTTGTCCACTACCTCAACACAGCTTCAGGATGAACTGTGCAAAAATAACCTTTTCTCTCCTAACAGAGAAATAGTTTTTTCTGCATATTGCATCATCTTGCATGGAACATCCTAAGTTTGGGGGCTACTGGAGATGTAGTTCCAGCTTTACAATCAGCATCTACTTAAGGGTTCAATCACTACCATATTGCTTTTTCTTGGTTTTTCCTCTCTGTGAGTAACCTGGTTCAGAGCAGAAGCACCTGCTGAAGTACAACCTCTCTTTTCTGCAGAGGAGCCTTTTCAGAAGTGTTCCTAGTGAAGCACAGGAGCACTGGCCAGCTCTTTGCTCTGAAGTGCATCAAGAAATCTCCTCTCACAAGGGACAGCAGCTTGGATAATGAAATAGCAGTGCTGAGGAAGTGAGTATATCCACATTGTCACGTGAAATAGAACAAATGTCCTTGCCCAAGACACGTGGCTCTACAGTAAGAATAATATACAGGAACAAGTGCATCTTTTCAAAGAATATATAAATAGTGTTGTGAATTATTAGATTAATAAAGTTTTTTTTCTCATTGCACTGCTGGGTTTGTAACCCCAGACCTGTGGAATGAGACAGATGCAGCAGAGCAGCAGGCAGGGAAAGGAGACCCAGAGTTAATGCTTCTGCAGTCCCAGTTACGCCCCCAACGTGGGGCAGGGAGCTGCTTAAAACAAAGGTCTGGTCCTCTGCTGGTGCCTGGTGCTCCCAAGGGAGCTGGCAGCCAAGGATTCCCTGCCACACAGGGAAGGGGGGTGATTAAAAGAAGACAACTTTTGGGTTTCCCACTTGAGAAGACACTTTGTCCTTGCAGGGCTTTTTTCTCACCCATATTTATCTTTGCAGGATAAAGCATGAAAACATCGTGACTTTAGAAGACATTTACGAGAGCACAACCCACTACTACCTGGTCATGCAGCTGTAAGTATCAGCAGAGCTATTTCTTTATGGCCCATGGAGGAGGGAGCATGGCAGGGCCAGGGTGACACACTTGCACCCAGAGTCCTGCTTGTGAAGAAGCTGCAGCACAAGAGTCATGCAAACACCTCCCACCACCGCACGGCTTGAACCAACCCGGACACTTCTCATTCTGCCTTGGCCCATGCTCATTTTAGCATCCAGGTTTTAAACCAAGATTAGGATAGATTTATGCAAATTAATTCATCACAGTTTAGCAGGGCAGAGACAGAAGTACTTCTAATTAAAGCTGTGCCATGCAGGGTTTCTAGAAATGAAAGCATCACGTCAGCAGCAGAGAAGGCAGCTACTGTGGGCATCAGCCCTGAGCACCTGCCTGCTACTGCTAACTTGCAAATGTACTAAGAGCAGCCACCCCAAAATCCACAAATCTGCTTGTGTGGCAGAGCCTGGAGGCAGCCCTGCCCAGGGCGCTGGGTGCCTGCAGCTCAGACCTCCTGGGAATTGCCTCAGAGCCTCATCCAGATTCCCTAGGTTTGCCAGCAATGCTTACTGGTACCCTGAAACCACACTCCAGTGTCCATCAGCCTCTCAGCCTCACAAAATCTGTTGCCCGTGGACCAGGTGCAGTTGTAAAAGGACCAGGACGTTCTCTTGCCCTGCACCCAGAAGCACGATTAGCTTTGTTTAATTTTCTTTTCAGTCTTTTTCTCTCTGACCTCCCGTTTGCTCACACAGGGTGTCTGGGGGGGAACTTTTCGACCGCATTTTGGAACGAGGAGTTTACACTGAGAAAGATGCCAGTGTGGTGATCCACCAGGTCCTGACAGCAGTGAAGTATCTGCATGAGAATGGAATAGTTCACAGAGACCTGAAGGTGAGACCTGTCCCTCAGCAACCTCCCCTCCCTGGGGAGCAGGTGTGACCACAGGCTGCACAGGCTCTGTCCCAGGACCCTGTTGCTGCTTTCTAGTTTTCTACCACAAAATCCAACCTCTCTGTGTTCACAGCCTGAAAACCTTCTTTACCTTACTCCTGAAGAGAACTCCAAAATCATGATCACAGACTTTGGCTTGTCTAAAATGGAGCAGAATGGCATCATGTCCACTGCCTGTGGGACTCCAGGATATGTTGGTAAGCCAAGGATCAGGAATGGGCTTGTGCTGGTGGATTCTCTGGAAGAAGTTTGTGGTGGTACAGTGCATTGCCTAGCAGAAAGGGAAATAAATATATATATCTATATAATTACATCAACAACATGTTACTCACAGATGCACTTTGTGGACCAGATACAGACTGGGCTGCAAATAAGTGTGCAGGCTGCAAAATCACAGAATGTGTAAAAATGCAAAGAAAAGGATCATTTTAAGAGCAATATATTTCAGTGGTAGTCACTTATTTGTTGAAAAAATCACAAAAATAATTTTAACACAATGGGATTTAGTTTAATATTCACTAGACTGCATTGGCTTGATCCACAGCTCACTAGTTAAAACCTCAGGGTGCAGGCAGAAATTGTCGATGGTTCTTTCTATTCAATGGCATAAAAATAGATACAAAAAGCACAGACCAGTCCTGCTGGTAAATGGGCCTGTTACTGCCTGGTTCTTTGCACTGGCCCCTCAGAGGCCGAGTGCACAAGAAACTCTGACTTCTCCCAGTATTAGATAATTTATTCTTGCTTTGAATGTTCACTTGGCTTTGCTGTTCTGCAGCCCCTGAAGTGCTCGCCCAGAAACCGTACAGCAAAGCTGTGGACTGCTGGTCCATTGGAGTCATCACCTACATCCTGTGAGTAGGAGCAAACCACATCCTGCTCATTTTCCCCAGTCTCCCCACTCCTCCCCACGCCCCAGCAGAGGCAGTGCAGGCAGAGGTGCTGCCCAACCTCCCAGCTTGCTGCAGGAACACAGCAGGGCTGGTTTCTTCCTTTGCACCAACTCACTAGACCATAGAAATGAAAGGGATGTGGGGAATCAACCGCTGGAGCTGAAAGGGATCCCATTTTCTCTATTATGTGCCTCATCCTTCGCTTTGTTCCTTCCCAGTTGCCCACAAACACCGTTCAATCCTCCTCAGTTCTTTTTGTCTCGTTTCCTCCCACACCACACAGCTCTGCACCAGCTGTGCCTTTGTCCTTTGGCAGCTGCAGTCACGTTTTTAACTCTTTTCTGCAGCTTTACTGCCACACGGGGAGGTGAGGGACAGAGGGGTGGACAGAGCAGCCCTCTCTGCCCCCTCTCCCTGCTGGTCGTGGTGCCAGCCCAGCCAGGGCTGCTCAGGGCCACGGGTCTCTGCTCTGTTCCAGGCTCTGTGGGTACCCTCCCTTCTACGAAGAGACCGAGTCCAAACTGTTTGAAAAGATCAAGGAAGGCTACTATGAGTTCGAGTCTCCGTTTTGGGACGATATCTCAGAGTCAGGTAAAGCTCCAGCCCCGGGAAGTGCTGCTCCCCCTCCCACAGCTACACCCCAGGGCCCTGCACCCACGAGCCCCCGTGCACCCCCAGACACCCCTCAGGATACTGCTCTCCTGCCTGGAATGCAGCATCTTCTGCTGAAGCCTCATTAACAGAACTCTGATTTTCCCAGATGATTAGTGAGCTCAGAAGTGGGCTCAGGTTTCCCTTGGAAACAGGGGAACTCAGGGTTTTTTTCACCTGGATTTTCTGTTTTCTTTTCTTTTTTATTTTTCTCTTCTCCTTTGCTTTTCTTCCCATCAGGTCACATTTCCCTCCAGCCACACAGCGACCCATGGCAGCCACCACTGCACCCTCCCACCAGACTAACCCGCCTGTGGAGCTCATCTCCACAGAGTTTACTGAAACCAGCATCTTGGCAGCATGTTTTGAAAATCAATCTTTTATACATACAAACAAAAGTAGCAGGAGGTTTGTCAGGACTTAATAACAAACACTGCAATCCTCCCTGCAAAAAAACAACAACCAACAAACAAAATCAAACAAAAAATGGGAGGGATGCAAGTGCTCTTTAAGGCAACTTCTAACTCAGCTCAGTTTGCACTTTCTGGTGCTTTCCAGAGTTACTCTTAGCTGAATAATTCAACTGAAATTCATGTAATCTAAGCCTGAAGGCTGGTACATCCCCGTTTTTTTCATCTGGAGCCCCTCACTGCAAACATCTCCCTTCAGAGGATGAATGAAGTGCTATGAACACCTCCTCCTTGGCCATGTCCTATTTAGGGTCATAACTTGGAACAAAGGAAAAATAACCTTTTCTCTCTGCTTCTGCTCCTCTCCCAAACAGCCAAGGATTTCATCAGGCATTTGCTGGACAAAAACCCCAACACAAGGTTCAGCTGTGAAGAGGCCCTTCGACACCCCTGGTGAGCAGAGGGGACCTGGCCATGGCTGGTGGCCACAGGCATCTACCAGCCTCCAGCTCTCCCTCCACGTGCTGCTGGAGCTGAACACAGGGGTGTCCCCCCAGCCCCCCTTATTAACGTCACCGTCTGCCTCCACGTGGCCCTGGGGGTTTCATGTTTTGTGTGCAAAGAAAGAAAATGATGAATAATTACAGCTGCAGTTTGTGCACACTTGCCTCCATAAACAGAGAGGCGAAGAAGAAATCCCACCCTGAGCTTTTCCAAGCTTTGAAGTGTGTGTTTGTGTTACATTTTGTTGCTGTTTCTCCTTTGGGTTTAATTATTGCTGATTGAACGTACAAAGCAGTTAGCTGCCTCCAGAATGTGGAATGCCTTACAAATGCCATCTGCCTACGAGCCCATTTTCTTCTCTCCCCATCTGCAGGATTAATGGAAACACAGCCCTGCACCGTGACATCTACCCATCTGTCAGTGCTCAGATTCAGAAAAACTTTGCAAAGAGCAAGTGGAGGGTAAGTGGTTTGCTGCTGGGAGCCCAGAGCCATTTCTCTAACAAATGCCAGTCGCTGCCACCCAGCAACACACCAGGCTGCAGCTGGGGGGGGGAAGCACCCAAAAGCTGAGACCCACCCAAGGCTGCCTGAAAACTGTGGAGCAGTTACTGTTTGGAGTGTGTTGGGACAGATGTTCCCTGCTGCAATGCACACTGGTAGGATGGCCACAAACACTGCTCTGTGGTGGCCTTGCCAAGACAGTCCAGGAGGGGGAAAAGGATTATTACTGCCTTTATACGGAGGCCTTGCTCCATCAGTAGATCTTTCTGGGAGCTTAATCCAGCATTTCCTCCTTTCAGCTTTGAAGATTAATTGGTACCTCATATATATATCAAGAGTTTTAGTAAGAATCTAGGTGGAGGAAGGAATACCATGGGAACCACATGTAGGGCAGCATTTCAAATGAACACATTTAAAACTCAGCCCTAGTCTCCATTTCACACTGCAGGATAATTTACAGCTGCCCTCCCTGGTTTCCTCATGTAGAAGTGGTCATGACCCTCAAAGCCTCCCCCACTTGCACTCAGGGTGTTCATGCCCAGGACGAGCAGGTCTCTCTTTGCCCACCCTGTGCACACAGGTGGTGCTCCCCAGCCCAGCACTGCCCACCTCATGCCCAGCCAGAGCCTGGGAGCAGCCCCTTCCCTCCAGCAGGCTCCCCTGGGGGCTCACCCTGGGGTCTCTCTCCTCCTCCCCAGCAAGCCTTCAACGCAGCCGCCGTGGTGCACCACATGAGGAAGCTCCACATGAACGGGCACGCAGCAGCCGAGAGCTCCCTCTCCATGACACAGGACTCAGAGGTGTCCAGACTCAGCACCCCCACCACAGCCACCCAGTCAGCAACACCCAACCAAGGAAAGGACACGTCACTCCCTCTGGATCCCAGGCAGGGATGTCCAAACCCCCACACTCAGCTGGAGCAAGACACAGGAATGAGAGAAGAGAAGCTGCAGAGTCCCTCGAGGAACGGGTCTGTGCCCAGGGGCAGCAGCCCCGTCCTGCAGGAGAACCACAGCACACCAACCAGAACTTCTTGTGGCTGCAAACCTGCCTGTGTGGGGCATGAGAAAACAAAGATGTCCTTCTGCTCCGAGACAGTGCTGCTTAAAAAATCTTCAAAATCCCAGTAGGTATCCAGGTCATTAGCCATAAATTCCAGCAAAATATATGGGAATAACCAGCTCCAGAAGGAGTTGCCTGGCACTTCAGTTGCCAGCCCCACCTGAAAGTAGAGAGGGGGGAGGAACAAGCACAGAAGCAAACACTTGACTGGCTGGAGAGTGGTGCTCAGCCAAGTGCCTCCCATGCTGGTAGGAGCATCAGGTGAGGCACCTTGCCCAGGCTGGGTGCCAGAGCCTGCAGTGAGCCCAGGCTGCAGGGCTCAGCTGCCACACTCCACTGACTGGAGCATTTGCTTCCCAAAACTGCAAGTGCTGGTGGATGAAGCTGCTGATGCCAATGGCTCAGCTGGTGCTGAGCACCAGACTCTGCTGCAGCACTGACTTGCACCAGCTCCACTTTGCTTTCAGCAGCTGATGTTCTTTTGTATTAAGAATGTAACTTCACTTACAGAAAGATTTTAAATATTGCTCTCTCTTTCCTTCTTTCTCTTCTGATTCTTCCATTTCCGAGCAGTCATTTCAAATCAGAAGTTCTTGTTCCAATGAAAACTGGCAAACACTCTTCTCACTGTGGCACTGGGCAAACTGGAGTGTGTCTGATCATGTGATGAGGAGGCAGCCACCAGGCTCCCCGCATGGCCAGTGGTAAGTGCTCCTCACCCCACTCCCCAGCTGCTCCTAGTTCATCCCATTATGGTGTGAAAAAGGGAAAGGCACAAATAGCAAAGTGATTGTACATGAAATTAATGGGCTCTCAGGTGTTCTGCAACAGACAAAGCATGTGAAAGGAAGCCAAGTGTGGACCTGTCCTAGCAAACTCTGCAGCTATTCAAAGCTGCTCACTGGGTTTCACAGCTTTATCATCTGGGATTAGGGCTCTGAAGCTGTGACCAGGAGCAAAGGGCTGACAAAGGGCTGGTCCATGGCCAAGTGTAGACAGGACATCTCTGCAGCCTGAAGGGCTATTCCCTATCCCAAGTTTGGTCCAGGCAGGTCAGTTTAAGTTCCTTTGTTACCAGAGAGCAGAGCACAGAGAGGTTCCTTTTGTAGTTGAGCAGAGTTCAATCATGAAAGTTTCAGCCTATTTCACCATAGCTTGGATTAATTCTGAACTAGCTAAATTGTTATCATTTGCTCCACATCTATATGAGCAGTGAGAAGTATTTCTATTAGATCCTGCCATAAGACTGTTCCTCAAAGGGAGCACATGCCAGCATAGTTCTCCAAAGCTCCACATGAAGTAGCTACATCCTGTCATCTCTTACACACTCCCTACTGACAAGATCACAACAGCAGGGCTGTAATGTACAAAGCATTCATAGAAGAGACAAATGCAAAGTCTGCAATAGGCTCCAAAAGGTCCATTCCCATGATCAATCTTGTAATAACCCTTTATAAACAAGGCAGACAAAGGGATCTAAGCTGCTCTAACCCCCATGCTACTGCTTGTTAACAGAGCCCGTTTTGAACGTGGCAGCCTAGTGAAACAAAATTTCAACCCTCAGTTGAAATCCTCTCTCTTGCAGACACAGAAGGGCTGTTTTACTCTTCCCTGCACTTCAGACATCAACAGTGCTCGCCAGCACGGGGCTGTGTCCCGCCCGGGGCGGCAGCAGCACCAGGAGCAGGGCCCCAGCAGCACCTTTATCCCAGGAATCCACCCGTGCAGTGACCTCGGGGGGCTTCTGGATCATTAAAGCTGGAGGGCAGCTCTTTAGCGAGGGAAAGGCTGAGGCTGCTGCTGGCATATTCAGTGTATATTATCCATACAGCATTGCTCAGTGCTATAAGCTTTTGTTTTCTGTGTACTGCTTAGTTGTCCAAGGCACAATAAATGCACTGCACAACAGGAACCCTATGAACCAAAGCCATGCAGAGTTTTACTCAGTGGCAGCTCAGTCCTTTTGACAATCTGCATCCTGTCCTCTCCTTGGGTTTCAGTTAGTCCCAGGCTTCAGCACTCGGAAGTTCCGCATCGACCAGCTGCCCAGTTCTCACTTCAGCTACAGAAGGAGAGGCAACCTGCTAGCAACCTCCATATGTCTGATAATAATCACAGCAAGGTCTAAATTCCCTGCCTCCAAGTCTGTAATTGCACAATAAATACTTGCTTAATAAAGCTGAGTTTTGTTTTGTAAAGTGCCTGTTGGTTATTCATAGAAATCTGATGTGGAAACAGTCTATTAAATCCATGCTCAGTGTTCCCTGTGCATCCACAGACCTGCTCCCTCTGGCATTTCTCTGGCAAGTGTTGCACAGTAAATAAACAGATTGTGGCAGAAAAGTCAACAAGAGATTCGACTTCACCTTTAAGTATGAGGTGGCATTTCTCTTATTTGTATAAATATGGTACGTTTATACAGATATGACAGAGATAAAGTTCTCCATTTCTGTGATCTGGTTCTTTGAAGAAAGAAGCCACAGAGAGTTTTAAGGATTAACTACAATGTAGGTAAAAAGTATGAAAGGGCCCCACGTGAGGGCTTTAATTTGAATAGTGACATTCAGCCTCAAGAGCTTGAATAGTCTAAAACAAGGAAAAGGAAGGATGTCTTGGTTTATAAAGCCCTTTGGGAATAACAGCTTTGGGGATGTTTTTATTTGCAGTGAAGACAATGTCTCTCCCTCTTTTATCTTCAACCACGGGAAGCTCCAGCCAGTCCAGCCAGGGTGAGCCCTCTCCAGGGGGCTGCTCCTTTGGCTCAGTGCAGCTGTTTTCCAGAGGTATGGAAACTCAGTTTACTAGGAATAGTGACACTGGGCACATGAGAACTCCAGCTGGAAAATGGGGATCAATCCAGCAGTCAGTGCTCAGGAGCAGCTCTCGTAGTAGGCGACTCGCTTGCTGATGGCATCTCGGATCCTTCCCACCTGCTTCTCCAGGCCCGACAGCCTGGCTGACTTGGACATCAAAGCCTTGTTGCTTTCCTGAATTTCCACCTCTAAAGCTGAGGAGAGAGGGCCAGAAAGGGTTAAGTGGTGATGGGACAGAAGGAGGGCAGGTTGGGCTGAGCCTTCACCTCCCCTTCCATAGCCCTAGTGGGGCAAGGAAAACCAGCATCACCTCCTCCTGCATTCCCCCTTCTCCCCATCAGAAAACCCCAACACACTGTTCCAAACAAAGCCATTACTTTTGAATGCTTAAAAACTGAAGCGAGCACATGAAAGAAGACAGAGGTACATCAGCAGGCAGGGCATCCCTTCCACAGCCACCCACACACCCCAGCAAATTCTAAATCGACTGGCTCAGCACCAGCAGACGCAGCCCAAATCTGCACTATCTCACTGCCAAAGCTGCCTTGTCTTCCTCATAATTTCTTTCCCTCGCCCTGCTGGGAATCAAAAGCCTTTTCCCACTGCATGAAATCATTACACTGAGTTCACAAAGGGTCTTACTTTCCATCTTGAGCATCATGGCCAAAGTTTCCTCAAAGAGAGCCTGTGCCTCCAGGTCTATGCTTTGCACCCTGCTGCCCTGCTCTCCCAGGGCTGGGCTCTGCTCCATCCTTCCCTTCAGCTCAGTGTACATTTGCTTCACTTGTTCAAAAGCCTGTGGAAAAGAAATAAGCAGGGCAGGTAGGATCAAGAAGATAGACTGGGGGAAAGAGGATTTTTTAGATATTAAATGGACACTGCCCAAGAGCTCTGCCACCATGTTATGCAAACGCGTGACAGTTTGATGTGCTCCAAGAGATGCTGAGTGGCAGCTGAATGGGCTGCTCTGCCTCAGGCAGGAGACACAGCAGAGAGAAGTTTCCACTAAAAAACATTAGGATTGAGGAAGGTCCTGGAAAAACTTCAGTAGCGTGAGGCTGCACCAGATGAATAAGGAGTGACAGGGCAATGCCGTGGCCTGAGCAAGAAAGGCTTCTTGGCTCCTCCAGAACGGAGCCAGGACACACTGGCTGTGCCAAGAGCAGCAGGGAGGTGTGGCAGGGCTGCAGACATACCTGCTGTGTGCTGCGTGCCCGCTGCCCCGCCGCGCTGCCCGCCTGCCCCACCGCGCTGCCCCGCTGCCTGTTCTGGGCCGCCCTGCCCTGCAGCGCCGAGAGCTGCTCCCCCAGTCCCGCCAGCTGGGCCACCATGGCCTGCAGGTTCTTCTCAGCAGGACCAAGAACGGCCTCGATCTGAAAGCAGAGAGCCCCACGTTAGGAAGGGAAGCTGCCAAGTGGGGAAGTTTGGAAGGAGCGGTGAGCAGGGCACGGTGTGGGTACCTGGGAAGTCACCACGCGTCACCTACCTCATCGACGCGCTCCTGGATGAAGCGGAGGGAGGAGCTGGAGCCCCTGATGGCTCCCCGGGCCTCCAGGAGCACCGTGTTGGCTTGTCGCAGGTTCCCCAGCACCTCCTCCACGTTGCCTTCCATGGCATTCGCCCGGTTCCTGGGGAAAGGTGGGAAACACTCAGAGTAAGCACGGGTGGTTGCATGGGCTGGAAGTCAGGGCTGTAGAGGCTAAAGAAAGAAGCCTGAGAAGCAAGACAGGATTGTGACTGAGAAGGCTGCACTCTCCTTCCCCCAAAAGCCACAAGCCCATCTGGACACACTGCCCTCCAGCTGGTTTTCCTTGGAGACAAGTGTTATTTCCATTTCATGCCCCCAGGCAGAGAAGACAAACTGAGAAGGGGAGAGAAAAACCTTCCTTTAAACTAGTTAGAAATCTTTATTCTGCAAGTAGTGCAAGAAAAGGTACTGAGGGGAAAGCAATCACCACTGAACCAGCTTCAATGAACACTTCTCTGCCTGCAGTGGGACTACTCAGGGTGGGTGACAGGGCTCCCTGCAGAAAGCCAGACTCCCTTGTCTCATCACTGCCAGCAGGTTAAGCAGGTGTCAGACACTATCAAGGAGTTTACGTACTTATCCCGCTGGCCTTCTCACCAGGATATTGCTGCAAGTCAACACGTGACAAAGTAGATGCTCCAAATTTGCAAGGACACTCTGTAATTAGTTTTTAAGGGACCATGGGATAATCCTCCCAACTTTCACCGAGAAAACAAATAGCCCATTTAATCTCCTCATGCTCTCTTGTGCAACTAGGATGTAGGTCACGAATACCGAGTAATGCCAGGGCAGCCCTGTCATCTCATCACAGGGACTCAAGAGATAGAGAAAATCCTCTGTTACTTTTGGTAAGGACCTTCTTGTTCTAGCACCTGTAACAAGACCTGCTCTTGGCAGCCAGATCCCTTACTTGTATCAGGACACCAGGGAAATGTCTGCAGAGATGACAGACTCATTCTTTCAGGCACTGTGTGGACATAGAGGATCCTGGGCTAAATCTTTGCATTGTGCAAGTCAGTAGTGACCCCAGCTGAGTGCCCTTGAGCCCCAACCGACCTTGAACCCCAGCTGACCTGGCTTGTTCTGCCTGCTGCTGCAGCTGCTTGGCCCTGGCCATGTCCTCGGCCGTCTGGGCCAGGATGTTCTCCGGGCACTGCAGCTTAGCTGCCATATTTTGGATCTCAGTCATTTTCCTCAGGACTGCAGCAGCATCCGTGGGGAGGTGCAGGGAGAGAACAGACTCGCTGATCTGCTGGATAGTGGCAGGGTCCATGTCCTTGTCTGCAGAGCAAACAGACAGGGTCAGGAACGGGAGGGGGGAAAGGCAGGAGTGGAAATACCAGGAAGGTCGAGGGCAGGTGCCCACTCATGCTCTCACACACACAGTGATGAGGTTGTGTTTCAAGGTAAGCCTTTTTCTACTTCACAAATAAAAGTTCGCACAACTGAGGAATCAGAAGCAGGCAAAGCCCAAGGGACATCAGCCCAGGGATTAGCTCAGAAATATCTTCACTCATCATTAACACCAGGCAGCACCAAATGACCTGATTTTCTTATTCAGCTAATGCTCATGAGACTCATTATGTTATTACAATCTGTCTGTGAACAATAAGTCATCCCATTGGTTTATAGGACAACAAGGAATTCTCCTCTGATTAATAGTCTGCTCATCTCTGGTCAGTGAGTGTTGCTGGTAAACTTTCCACATCAGGTCAATGACAATTGCAAATCCTTGGAGAGCACCAGCATGGGGACAGGCTTGTCCTTGAGCCCCAGAGATGGTACAAGGCTCTGTAGCAGAGACCAGGACCCAGAGCAAGGTGTTGTCCCTGCTGCAGACAAAAGGCTGCTCCTCCTGCTTTCCACTTATGTTAATTCAGTTCATTCTTTTAGAGGTAATATTTGAGAGCAGCTCATGGGGGGACATTGGGAGACCCCTCTATGAAGCCCTGCATACAGAAGGTCAAGGTTGTGTGGTACCTTCTGCCCCATGGATCTCAGGGATGGCCCCAAATGTCCCCAGGAGGAAGCAGGCAGGGTCTGCCCTGGTGACATCCCAGGAGAGCTGACACAGATAAACCAGTCAGGAATAATTTGGGTCAATTTGAACAGCACAGTCAAGCCTGAGCAAGTTAGCTGGGCAAACTGCAACTGCTGACAAAAATCACAGGTTTTTATACTGCTGAAATGTCTTCTTCACATGTCAGGAAGCACTGCTCAGGTCTGCCGTGCCATCCCAGAGGCTGGGCACTACCCTTGCTACATAAATACCCACGTGCAGACGAACTGGATATCTGAGGGCTTAGCTGGGGTGGCTGCTGAGCAGACGCCCTCGTGCTGTGCTCTCACACACCACATCACTGCAAAGATGAGTTTTCTCTGTGCACAAGTCAACCTGCACAGACAGGCTTCACAGCCTGCAGAGCCCTCACTACCTGACAAGAAGCTCCGGACCTGCTGGATGAACTGCTGGATGCGCCGCACGTCCCCCTCCATCTGGGTCCTTGTCCCCGTCACCTGCTCCACCAGCCGCCGGGTGCTGCTTTGAATCTCACTCACAGACGTCTCTGTCGTTTCAATCTGCAAACAACAATATCCTGCTGGAGCCATTTCTTGTTGACCTGGAACCCCAGCAGCCCCACCTCAGCCTCCAGCCACCCGGGCAAGGCACTGAGATGATGCTGTTCCCACACTCAATACCCCACTGCTTTAAAGGTTTGTAAACGGTAAAGACAGAAGGTTGGATTTGCAAAGGAAACTCTCAACCAGGGGCACTGCCATTTAGCTTTTTAAAACATCTCTGAAATTATGTCAAATGAGTTTGAAAACTCACTTTATCTCTGCCAGCACCCGAGAGGGCACTGAAGGAGCTGCAACCACCCTAACACCAATTGCACCCAGTGCTGGAGCAGATAAACCTGGGGATTCAGAGGTGTTTGACATCCCCATCCCTTCTGCCATGCTAACCCCAAACGAGGAGGACAAGGCTTCCCCACGACAGTCCCAGACCCGCGGCTCCTGTGCTGGGGGGAAGCAGGACCCGCAGGCCCAGCAGGAACCCTCCCCCTCAAAAACTCCCCAATTTCTGCCGCTGCCCAAAACATCAAGTCTCCGGCAGAGTTCGGGACGGGGCGTTTCCTGGCAGCTGCCCCCGGGCAGGACGGGCAGCCCTGCCCGCACTCACCAGCCGCGCTGCCCGCACT